AAACCTGAAAACTGACATGAGTGCACTAAATTAGTCAAAGTAGTTCTTTGACCTCTTGTGTTTTTCCTTTGGCTTATTCCTGGCATCATGCTTGAGAAAGCTGCAACTTGATAAATACATAGATAGCTGGCAGTGACTCAAGCTCCTCCAGCTGTGTTCATGCTTGGCCTTCCTTTTCTTAAGAGTTTCATTTCATTTTTTACTAGTCATTAAGCTCATTGACTAGTGTTTAGAGACTAGTAAGTGACAAGCTTAAAGACAGTAAATCATACAGAAAGTCTGTGTACAACTAAAACGTGTTGCTTATTCATGGTAGCAGTCTTTTTTTCTACAATAGGTGGCCCCATCTTTGAACAGTACATGTATTGATACCCCGCATATTGCATTTGAAAGCTAGAATTTGAATAGATTGGGCCAAGTAATGAAATATCAGGAAACTGAACATTTCCTAAATAAAGATTCATACTTGCTTCCTGGCTCTGAGTAAGACATAATCCCTTTCCTCCTGTTTCCATTTTTCAATTAGTAAACTGCTTTGTAGTTTTCCTCCAGATTCAGCTGTAGCAGTCATGATTGACTTCTCAGTTGAAGTCAGCAGCAGGTATGCAAGCTTCTTCCTCACCATTAGATAACACTGTAATCAATAGAAATTATTTGTCTTCTTAAAAACAAGAAGGCTTTTCTAAGAAAAAAATTAACCATCCATACAAAATTGAAAGGAAATGCATAAGCTCTTTCCAGGTCAGTTAAGCACAGGGGATTCTTCACCTTGTACCAGAACACAGAGAAACTCCTTTCTGCCTAGCCTTGCTATCCTGTAGATAACATCTTGGTTTTCTAATGCAGATTTATTTCATTTTTACTTTTAATACATTTCACTGAAACAGAGTGCCACTGAAGGAGGAATAATAAGACAACTCTTAAAAGTCTAAATAGAAAAGAATTTTCAACTTATTATTGCTAATCGGGAAAAATAATCACCTAGATTTAAAACATTATGAAATAAATCCTGTCATATTGAAATCATATGTTTATTATACTGCTTCATGCTATAGAACTTTTAGGACTCACATATTATTGATCTTGTTTTTGTGAACAGCAGAATAAGTCAGAGAGACTTCTATTAACAGCAGTGAACTTGCACCTCTGTTACAGTGAGTGAATTTATACCAGAAGAAAATCAGGAAATTTACAATAAGAACCAAGAACAATTAGTTACACAGTGAGTGGTGATAAAGATAGCAACCTGTGTGTCTAAGTGTGGACTTTACAGAAGAAATGTGAGCGTTCTCACTTCAGTTAAACTATTTAGAGATGTCAAGATTCAGAGCACTGTATTAACTCAAATCTAAATCAGAAAAGTAGGTTAAGACAAAGTAAAATATCAGATTAAAAGAAAATGTTTTGGAAGAAAAAGAGTAGATGAGACAAGCCAGAAAGCCCTATAATCTTCAGTTCTACCATATGCCATAAGAAAAATATATTACGAAAATACTGTGGAAAAATAGCAATTTGGAGAATAAGAAAACACGGAATCTCCCCAAAAGTGAGAGAGGCAGCATTTTAGAGGGAAGAAAAGATATGAAATATCTCATAATTAAAGAATCTTCACCAGAAAGTATAAAATACACTTTTCCTAGAAGGCATCCACCACTCAGTGCACAATGACTTCTGGATTCTCTTTAGCATTCTTCAAACAAGTCTTTTCAGTCAACCAACAAGGGTTTGATTCAGACCAAAAAAAATCTTAGGTTTCTTTTGTTAATTTAAAAAAAAATTTGGCCAATAATCTAGTCTAGAGTAGATTCCTTCTCAATGGACACAAATCAACACTTCCAGAGGGTAGTGCATCCCACTTTTCAAATTCCTTTCTTATACACCTCTAAAGATTGATTTGTCCCATCTTTGATCTTTCCATGCCCACTGAGGAAATCTAGAAAATTAGCTTAACCAAGATACCTATACTACTACTAAAGATCAGCCTAAAGATCAGCTTTGTCTAAAGGTCTTTCTACAGATACAGCCTCTTGAGGTTCCACATCTACAACATGTAATTGATTTCCTTGTAATTAATAAATATGCTAAACCTTTGAGGTAAAAGAAAAGTTGGATTTACATCACTAACAGTCTTTTGGACTCAAATTCATGTCTGTCTCATTGCAATGAGACAGACACCGTGCTGGTACACCTTTGCAAAGGCAACATGCAAACTAACAGGCATGCTCCAGGAATCAAACATGAAGGGAATTATGAACCTAAATTAGATCTACAGTAGTATGAAGGATTAAAGATATTAGAAAACAGGAAAATATAATTTCTTCCAAGTAATGCCATGGTATGGATTCTTGTGGTATGGAGCCCCTCCTTGCCACACCATGTGCACAGTAATATTTTTATTTGCTTCACAGTAATATTTTTATTTGCTTTTGGGAACAACTGAAGAGACAAAGTAGTGTGATTTTAAGTTTCTCTGTATTAAAAGTCTGTAAAAATCTGTTCTTTGCTTGAAATCTGTAAGAAACCGCAAGCAACTCCATATGTCCCTTTCTTTTGTGCTACTTTTGTGCTTTTTATTTTGCAGTGTAAAAAAATCATCACTGGAACCTAGTGACAGACCTTGATTAACTGTGCTTAATCTTTTTTCCAGAGAAAATTTGAACGGAGAAAGTGTTCTAAAACAAGATAATAAAATGTTATCATTTCTTCATTCTCATTTTATTAAATATGCTCATCTTATTTGCAGAGTCAATCTATCCAGTTGGTATCTTTGTGACGAGACAGAATGCATAAGGAAAAATGGTTTTGAAACATATGTTTACATAATCTATCTGCAATGGTAATCTTACTGACAGCCATTTGTCACTGATCATTCTGTTGTGGTACAATATGATTTGTGCTCCTTTTCCCTTTGTTACTGGAAGTTAAATGGGAAAACAGATAACTGTAGAAAAGCCTGTAACTTTTTTTAACTACCATTCATCTCTTAAGTCGGGAATTCCTCCCAATATCCATGAAGTCCTTTGTGACTGTACTTTTTGTTTTCTAGCACAAGAACAGAAATACTCAATGAATTCAAAAGGGGACAAATTTTTTACTGATAAAACAAACCGTTCTCTCACTCTGTAACAGGGCTTTAATTTTCATCAATGTCACAGAATGCTGTTGAAGGTTATAGCTGAGTAAGTTTTAGAGGATTGTTAGATGTTTATATGCCTAGCAGGAAAATATAATATCAGAATATTTACTAACAACAATAGAATATTTGAAAGGGAGATCAAAATTCACACTTCAGACCTTAAGCAAATCACAAACTTAAGGAATAAAGATGAAGCATTTTTCCCATGGTTTACTTCACACATCTTCCTGTGGGAAGCTTGTTGCTAGTCCTCAGATTATGAATGGTGGACCTAGATAACCTGTTCTAGCAAGATGATTTCTGTGTTCTTATGTAAAACTCTGAGAAGGTGCCATTAATGGTCTCTGCCATTATCTACCCTTGCGTACATGATATTTTGCCCTAGGAAGATGATAGATGTGTAGGGGTAAGAGAAAAAAATTGAAACCCTGGAGCTGAATTGGTCTTCTTCTTTAGTCAATGGGATGCAAAGAAGAAAAAAAATTCAAAGGATACCTTACAACAGACCCAAAAGTCACATCCTTTTTTCACTCACAATAGGTAAGAAAACCCCTTGGTATATCTGGTGGGTTGACCTTGTCTAGCCACCACATACCCACTAAACCTCTCAACTTGACTGTGGACTGGGCAGAAGAAAATATGATAAAAGTCTAGTGGGGCAAGGTAAGGACAGGGAGATCACCGTAACAGGCAAAACAGACTTGACTTAGAGATATTAGTTTATTTTATTGCCAATTAACAGTGAATTAAGATAATGAGGAATAAGACCAAATCTAAAAGCACTCTCCTCTGATACCTCTCTTCTTCCTGACTCAGCTTCACTCCCGATTTCTCTATCTCCCTCTCCCAAGTAGTCCAGAGGAATGGAGAATGAGAGCTGTGGTCAGTTCATTACATTTTTGTCTGTGCTGCTCCTTCCTCCTTGCACTCTTCCCCTGCTGCACTGTGGGGTCCCTGCTACAGGAAACAGTCCTCCATGACCTTCTCCAACCTGAGAGCCTTCCTATGGGTTGCAGTTCTTCACAAACTGCTGCAGCGTGTGTCCCTTTCATAGGATGCAGCCCTTCAGGAGAAGATTGCTCCAGCGTGGGCTCCTCTCTCCACAGGGCCATCTTTTGGGCACCCACGTGACCCTCCATGGGGTTTTCCATGGGCTGAAGGTGGATTTTGCTCCATCTTGGACCTCCATGGACTGCAGGAGACAGCTTACCTCACCATGGTCTGAACCACAGGCTGCAGGGGAATTTCTGCACTGTCCGTGGTGTCTGCAGGGTTGTTTCACTCACGTATTCTCACCCCTCTCTCTGGCTGCTGTTGTGCAGTAGGTTTTTTCCCACTTCTTACCTTTGTTATCCCAGAGACAATACCACTGCTGCTCATGGGCTCAGCCTTGGACAATGGCAGGTCCCTCTCGGAGCCGGCTGGCGTTGGCTCTGCCAGACATAGTGTAAGCTTCTGGCAGCTTCTCACAGAAGCCATCCCTGTAGCCCACCCTGCTACCAAAAGCTTGCCACATAAAACCAGTACAATACAACTTTTTGTGTATGATCTTTTCATGTCCATACCCTTTTCTCTTACAACCATGTTGCTGTATAGTCTACATAATTGACACCACCTCAACTGTCATACCTTGTCTGTAGCATAAAGATTTCAAAAGCTTCATTTGATACATTTTCATCCTGATATGCTGTAAAAAAACTTTCCAAAATACTTTTTCTCGATATATACAGTATTAATTTAGGACTAATATAACTTGATGTATTTAAGAATTTATGTGATATATTATATATTCAAGGATATATAAAAATTAAAATATAATTTGTATATATATTTAATATATATATAGTTTCTTCTTTTCCCTTAGTTGTATGTAGATTTCTCTAATGGGATAGAGAACTTTCACTCCAGATGGAATAATCAGGTAAGCCAGAAAGCCACTTAAATTATAATATATTTGTAAATAATATATTTATTTGTGCATAATTTAATATATTATATAGTATATGCATTAAATATAGAATGTTTAATATATTATATAAAATATAATCATGGTAAGACTTTGGTGGGACAACTGGGAAGCTAATCTGTAGGCATAGGTCTGGAATGCCATCTGAAGCATTTCTTGAAGTATTCTCTAAATATTGAACCAGGTTTAATTGTGTAAGCATGAAATTCCCTCACAATGTAATCAAGAGGTAGTACATACTTGGTTAGAAAATAAGAGCCCAGTGACAATAGGACCTTCTAACTGGCTTCTAACTGGTTACTTAAGCTATACTCTGACTTCAGCAGTTCTTCCAAGCTCTCTATTCATTTTTCTTTGATTTTTTTTGTAAGTTTATACAATGCAGATATTCTATCTTTTTCTATTCCCATATATTTTTCTTTTTAAAATTGTCTCTATTTCTTTTCATTGCTATAATTTCTCTTTTTAAAATTAGCTGTTTTTCTTTGGTATCAATGCAAAAAATGGTCTAAACTTGATCTTCAGTTGCTTCAGCTGCATGCTTCATCACTGGCCTTTCTTGCTTTTCCTTTATTAATTTAATCTGAAATGCTGGTCTAGTAATCATCTACATTATGGACAACCTCTATTATGATCTATTCATTAACCTCTCATCATCTTCATTCCTGACTTCCAAACTCTGCATAACTCCACTCTCATTATTGGCAATTTTCTCTGCAGTTTCTTAGCTTTGTCCTTGTCTCCTCGAAGTTGTGTCCCCTTCAGTTTATTGTTTTGTTCTTGTCTGTAGGCCCCAAACTTTGGGGAGTCTTTGGATGTCTGAATCAAGGGTGAACAACAGACCAAGAGTCAAAGTGCTTGCAATCAAATAAACTCTGTATTAGGAATAGTCATGGAAATTTTTAAAGATTTTCAAAGATTCTTCACACTTCACACACACATCTTTTCTGCACAGTTAAAATACTTAGCATTTTTGGTTTCTGTAGTTCTCAAGGTGTTATAGAAGGTGAGTAGAGCTTGTTAGCCTAATTTTTAAAGTGCTAAGGTAGGGTAAACCTAGCATAGGTGGTGGCAAAATCAAGCAAGATCGTATCTTGCAAAGGGTAAAATGACAAAATAAGAGCAGAAATTAGATTAGAATATCAGTTAGTATTGTAAACTCAGATTATCTACCTGGGTAGATAATCCCAGGTTAACATTTCCTATCAGCTGTTCATGTCAACTTTAATACTTTAAGGTAGAAAGTTATGAAAGCACTGTTCATCCTTCACTGGGATATAGTGGTATTATACTCAGAGAAGCAGAGAGTATTCCTGTGTTCAAAGTTAAAAATATTTTCCTTTCAAGATGCTACCATGGAACACAATCAGGATCAAAACTCACTGCTGAGCTCAGTAATAGAAAGGAGTACTTTCTTACAGTCAAAAGGCTTTTTTTTCCCTTCACTGCAACTGCAGATGAGATAGGTGAACCAATACTGGCCTTCAGATATATTAAATTATGTTTCATTGATGGCAAAATCCAGTTCCCAGCTAATATTCCATTTAGTAGATGGCTTAAAGTGCACCTTAATCTGCATCATGCCCCAGGTTTGACATTATTTGTGTAGGGCATCACAGGTTGATAGTATTTTTTTTCTGCTGACAGGCACAGTTCTCTTCTCCATTAAAGCTTATGGATATTTATAACTCAAAGTGTTCTTGTAGTAGCTGGTAATATAGAACACTTCTCTGCAGTCTACTATTTGACAGCTTCTATTTACTGAGATCTTACTGATGAGAACATCCATAGCTCTCTTAGTTACCAGATAATTGTGCCAAGGTGATCCTGATCCCTGAACTGAAGGAAGCAAAGAAACAAAAAGCTGCTTTCTCTATCCAAATTCTTGTGTCAGATTCTTACTAGAAGTAATAGACACCACCTTACTCAGATAAATAACAAATCAGCTCTAACTTCTTCACCATTTTTTCCTGTTTCTTCAAAATAAATGTAGACTTCCACCATCCCAGACAACAACACTGCCTACATAGATACAAGTAAAAGTACATTTTCTTCATTCTTAAGAACATGGAAACAGTATAAAACTCCAATGCATTAAGAAGTAGAAAATTAGAATCAGAACGAGGGAATCATTGGAAGGATCTTTAGAGTATTTCATCCAACCTCCTACTCAAAGCAGGAGTATTGCTAACACTAAATCAGATTCACTTTATCGTGTCCTGAAAACCCACACGAGTGGAAACTCCACAACTCCTCTGTGTAATCTTAGTGCTGTGCTGAACTACCATTTTTCATCATTCCACTGCTGGAAAATATATTCATAATGCTCTTCTTGGACGTCTCAAGCTGCAGTTTGTGGCCATTGCCTGTCAGCAAGTCCAGGTACAGAATGGATCATAGAAAGGCTTGATTTGGAAGGGACCTTAAAGATCATCTAGTTCCAACCCTCCAGCCATTGACAAGGGATACCATCCACTAGATCAAGTTGCTCAGGGCCCCTTCCAAACTGGCCTTGAACACTGACAAGGTTAGGGCTCCCAAAAGTTCCCTGGGCAACCTGTTCCAGTATGTCACTACTCTCTGAGTAAAGAATTTCTTCCTAACGTCTAATTTAAACCTGCTCTCTTTCAGTTTGAAGCCTATCTGCCCATATAAAAAGCCCCTCTCCTTCCTTTCTTATAAGCCCTCTTAAGGAACTGGGAGGCCACAGTGAGATCTTCTCCAGGTTGAACAACCCCATCTGTCTCATCCTGTCTTCATAGGATAGGTTCTTTCTGACAGAGACTCTCCAGTTTCTCCACATCAACCTTGAATAGGGGGACCAAAAGCTGGATGCAATGGTTGAGGTGTAGCCTCACAAGGTAGTAGTGAATAATAAGTTCCTTCAAAAATTCTCCTAACTTAAATCAGTATGCAGTTTGCCTCATCTCTAATGAGAACACACTGGGGCCTTAGATTCAGCCACGTATTTGCTACACCTCCATGGCCATTTGGTCAACTCACAGCTGTATTGAGTTATTCTGTTCCAGAAACAGAACTTTGAACTTGTCAAATGTGAGCTCCATGGCCTTCCTTTTGGCCCAGTCCTCCAGCATCTTAAGATGTCTCTGAATTGAAGTTTTAATATTTACTGTGTGAAATATTTACTTTAATTTAATATCTTCCACAGATTTACTGAGAATTCTTGTCTCATCATTGAGGTTGTTGACAAAGATGCCAAATAGTCGTGGAGCCATTGTCACCCCACTGGGTCTAGTGCTGATTACCAGCTTCCACTGGACATCATATGACTGATTACTGCCCTCTGAGCACAGAAGTCCAGCCAATATTAAACCTACCTAGATGTACATTCATACAACTCATCCCTCTTCAATTTACATGTGAGAGTGCTGCTGAGGGCCCCAGCAAAGTTAAGGTGTATTACATCCACTATTGTCGCTTCATTCACATCACTAGTCACTTTATCACTGAAGACAATTGAGTTAATAAGCATGATCAGTCCTTGGTTAACCTTTGTTTCTTGTTCTTCAGTGTTGTCATGGTTTAACCCCAGCCAGCAACTAAGAACCACACAACCATCACTCCTCCCACAGAGGAATGACAGAGAGAATAAGAAAAGTAAAAGTGAGAAAGCCTGTGGATTGAGATAAAGACAGTTTAACAATAAAACAACAAAAATAATAGTAAGGAAAAGGAAAAAGATAAGACAGAGAGAGAAAATAAAACCCAAGAAAGACAAGTCATACAAATGAAAATGATTTCTCACCATCAACCGACCAATGTCCAGTCACTTCCTGAGCATTAGCCTCCCTGGCATCCTCCCCCCCCCATCTTTATGTGCTAAGCATTATGCCATATGATGTGGGATATCCCTTGGATCAGTTGGGGTAAGATGTCCTGACTGTGTCCCCTCACAACTTCTTGTGCACCCCCAGCCTCCTCATTGGTGGGGAGGGGTGAGTAGCAGAAAATACCTTGATACTGTGCAAGCACTGCTCAGCAGTAACAAAAACATCCCTGTATTATCAGCACTGATTTGGTCACAAATCCAAAACACGGCCCCATATTAGCTACTTTTAGACCCAGCGCAATTGTTTAGAAATATCATCTAAGAATCTGTTTCCAGGGACTGAAATGAATCTGACCAGCCTGTAACTCCCAAATGGTTCTTCCTGACATTTATATAGCTGGGCATATTATTTTCCTTTTTTCATTTGTAAGAGACTTTTCCAGATTACTTCAATTTCTTTGGCCGCAGGTAAGTAGCAGCTTTACAATCACCCCAGCTGTGTGCTTCAACACTTTCAGATGAATCTCACCCAGGCCCAGGGATTTTAGCACATCGGGATCCTTCAAGTAGCCCCTAACCTGTGACAATTCCACTCTTGACTGCTCTTCTCCTTCCCAAGCATGACTGGCTTGTGCAGTGATCTGGTCTCAGGCTTTTCCTAGAGGGACTGAGGTAGGGAGGTGGAGAAGGCATCAAGTATTTTAGTTTTATCCATGTCATCCATCACTGTGCTGTCTTCTCCTTTTCATCAACAGTGCCACATTTCCTCTGAACTTTTTGCTCTGAACATTTTTCTATCAGCAAGCTGACAGAATTTCTTCTTATTACTCCTCGTGTCACTAGACAATTTTAAGTCTAGTTGGGCTTTGGCCTTCCATTACTCTGTGAGTAATGTTTCTCTCTCATCTCCATCCTTCTTTGCAATTTCTTGTATGCTCTCTAGGGTAGCTAATATCAATTTGATAATCATGAAAAATCAATGGTTTCCTGTGTTATTGTATTGCTATTTGCATTGCATTAGTTTTGTGCAGCCTGTCTTTGGTCACAGTTTATGTTCTTGTACCATGTTTAATAAAGTAATAGCAGATTAACATAGATATCATGGCTAGGCTTTACGAATGAAGATTTGGGAAGGGCTCTACCCACGTTTGTTACAAGAACGCTGG